TTTTTTTTTTTTTTTGTCCTGGAGGCCTTAACTAAATCAATCGATTTTTCCATTTTTTTCATTTTTCTTTTTCCTTTTCCCCCTTTATATTGCAGCACATTCATGGATATTTTTGATGTGGATCACTTCATTAACGTGTTGAAAGATGACGTGTCTATTGTTAAAGAGGTGCCTGATGAATACTTTTGGAGCACAAGAGAATATTACGCCACAGCCATTAGAGCTAACAGAGTTAAAACAGCGCCTGTTCATGCTTCGGCAAACTGGTATCTAGACAATGTATTGCCTATCCTTCAGAGGTTGGTGTGTTAGACATAACATTTCCTTGGTTTTTCTATTCTATTTTAATGTACAGATTCGGAATCTCAAATTCGAATTGGAATTTGCTCGCTTGGTGTGTGATTGGGCCTGAACTGTATTTTCTTGGAATTTCTAGTTATGGAATAGCTGCAATTGCACCCTTTTCACACCGCCTGGCATTTGACAATATGCCGGAGGAGATCCAACGGCTAAGATGTAAAGTCAACTTCCAAGCTTTGGTTTTTGTCCCTCACATCAGAAAACTTGGTGATGCCTTAGTTAGCCGGCTCAGGTACCCTCCGAGCACAAGCCAAGTCATTGGCACTGAAAAAATTGAAAATTCCAAAGGCAATCTAGGGGCTGGAAAATTTGTTGTCATACACCTCCGTTTTGACAAGGTAACTGATCAACACTAAGAACATTGTTTATTCCGGGAAAAAAAAAAGAAAAAAAAAAAAGAAAAAGTGACTGTAAAGGTGGGAATGGGAAGAAGATATATTTCTGGTTTTACTTTTGGCTCTTGATATTTATATAATATATTTTTTTAATTTCTTTTCAGGATATGGCTGCCCACTCGGCCTGTGACTTTGGGGGAGGTAAAGCTGAAAAATTGGCTCTGGCTAAATACCGACAGGTTATTTGGCAAGGGAGGGTTTTGAATTCTCAATTCACGGACGAGGAGTTGAGGAGTCAAGGGCGGTGCCCTTTGACTCCAGAGGAAATTGGATTGCTGCTGGCAGCTTTAGGATTTGACAACACCACCCGATTGTATCTTGCTTCTCACAAGGTCTTTATATCGAGCCTTCTCTTTTCCCTTTTTTTTCTTCTTTTTTTGAATTTTTGATGTTTTATGATACTGATCGATAATTTTTTCAGGTGTATGGTGGGGAAGCTAGGATCTCAACATTACGAAGTTTATTTCCACTAATGGAGGACAAAAAGAGCCTGGCATCCTCAGAAGAAAGAGCTGCAATTAAAGGGAAGGCTTCCTTATTAGCTGCAGTTGATTATTATGTGAGCATGCACAGTGATGTTTTCATTTCAGCATCCCCAGGAAATATGCACAATGCTGTGGTAAGCTCTTTTATGTCAGGCCTTCTATAGAATTTAAGCAGTTCGTTTATACCATAAGTAATTGCTCGATATAATTATGGAAATTACCAACACTCTGGGGTACATAATTCTCCTGACATACACTCTTAAGGATGAGTGACAAAATCAATTTTCAATTATTTGTACCCTAATGTTGTAGTTTCATCTCTAACACCAGTTGGGCCACCGAACATATGAGAACAAGAAGACTATACGGCCTAACATGGCACTAATAGGCCAGCTTTTCCTGAACAAGAAACTGACCTGGCCCGATTTTCAAGAGGCAATTATCGAGGGTCATAAAAACAGGCAAGGGCTGCTTAGACTACGCAAATCAGAGCAGTCTATATACACGTACCCAGCTCCCGATTGCATGTGCAATGCTTGAGGTCTCGTTTTTTAGTGGAGCTTCCATGTTTTTCTGCATCTGTCTACTATTTAAAAGAATAAAGTTTGTTCCATTTCCACTTGTCCATGTCAACGACCACACATACAGAATTTTATGTTGCAAAATTTGGGATGCATGACTTATTTTATTACCTTATCATGAATAGCGTATAGTATAAATTCGTTACATTTTGTACTCCTTATCATATATTTTTGTGATATTTCATCGATTGTGCGGATAAATTATTCATTCGTCTTGTTAACATGACTAAGCTTTCGGAGTTATTTGTTCAAATGGGTGTGTGCTAACTGAATTCTTCCATAATTATGATGAAATTAGAAGATTAGGTGCTATATGTATTTCTGTATCATTGTTTATCATCCAATTACAAGATACTTTAGATGCATTCATGAGGCTGAGCAATATTTACAAACCCACAGAAATTCCATATAAACAGAAGCAAGCTCCACTAGAAAGCACAGTGACATAACAAAAACCTTTTTATCATTAATGTAATAATACCCATTCAAAAAGAAAGCATCGGAAAAACCAGATGCACATATAACACCAAAGGGTATATTCATTATGTGTATAGTGTCAACTACAACTCAACAACTCAAATAGTATCACCAATCACAATTCACATTGAGTTAGTCCTGCTGATCAACCTGGTCGAAATTACTTGGAGCTGAACCAGGGCCCGAGTTCTTGACATCATTTTTGTCCTTCTCAGCCACAGGTGGCCTATTACCACTCCTCGATTTTGCCAACTCCTTCACATCCTCCGGGCTCGAACTCGATGGGCCCACCATCTCCTCCTCGATTGGCAATGTCCTCTTTGAACCCTCTAATGCCACGCCCAGAACTATATTCTCCTCGAGAGAGGGTTTAGTCTGTGTAATCGGCTGTTGTCTTGAATCCTGTTTCGAATGTGAATTAGTTGAAGAAGCATTTTCGGGTTTCCTGCTTCCCGAGTCGGGCGAGGAGACTAAGTTAATCTCCTGGCCTGTTTTCTGAGTATCAGTGCTGGGTACGGGTTTTGGGCTGCTATTGGGCTTGGGATCTGATGCTGAGGTGATTCTTGGATCTTCCTTTGGGCCGGTTTTGGGCACTTGTCCAGACTCAGGACTAGCTTTATCATCTTTTGTCTTGGTGTCCAGATCAAGAGTTGACTTGGAGGTAACCTTGATGTCTTCCTCCCCGTTTGGGCGGGACGAACGGGTTTGACTTTTGGGCTTGTCTTCCCCAGTGACTTTGTAGGATGGTTCCACCAGTAGCAGTGGGCTGTTGGAGGATGCAGTTCCACGGGTAAATATGGTATCCGAGAAGGGTACGCTGTCCAAGTCTGAATCGGTGAATACTTTCTGGATTGTGCGAATGGGAGTGGCTAGACGGGCACGATGGTGCCTGATGACTCTTAGGAGGTCCAGAAGAATGGTTTCCTGTGTTCGGAAAAATAAATGAAATTATGTGTAAATATATAACAGAAAAAAAAAAATAAAAAAAATGAAGTAGACATAATCAAACATCAAATTGTTGATAGAGCTGCCTACGAGGGTAAGAATTTTAATAGTCACAAAAATGATGAACAAATATTAACATTGTATTTGATGTGTGGAGGATTCTCTTATACCAGATTACATCATAACTAGCAGTCTAACAGCAGAAATTAATTTTATGTGTGCTGTGGTAGGACCGCTATTGATCATGTTATCGTGGAAATAATATGATGGCATGAGCGGCGGAGTTATGCTCGTCAATAATGACTCATATAAAGGCATCTTCATTGAAATGAACACTCACCTTAACACGCAAATATTCTTCAAAATGTGAGGTCTTCACGAAGCAGGACACCAATATCTGCATTGTTGTGGGATCAATTAGATCAGGTCATCATAGCTATAATAATGAAATCAGCTTCCATGTCTTATGTGAATTTTTTGCCAAAGATGTCATAACATTTCCTGATAACGATGAGTACATAAAATTAATTCTGCAGTCTGAATCATATATGCCCAGCAGGGTTTTGTTATGCTAATTATTCCTTGAACATCAGACTTGGTCAGTTAATATATGATGAATGCAGATAAATCTACAATTTCTCAAGGAGATGGAATGAGTACGGTGAGAGTAGTAGAACGTGGTTCTGATAAAAACATGAGGTTCGTTCTCTTTCTATATCTGGCTATGAAGGAATAACTGACATCTTTTCTTACTGAAATTCTTTCAAAGAATTCTGTTTTCTCCAAAAACACATCATAAAGAGAAACAGAGATTTTTTGAGGCAGAACAGTTGTATTCACAATAAAAGTGTCAATATGAGTAGATTCAGGAATTTAATTAACCATCAGAGCCTGGTTTTCAGGATTAATATTGTCCAAAAATACTCTTCTGTGCAATTTCTGCTGTTCCACATTAGAACTCTTTGCAAGAACCTTCCGCATGTCAGCTACTATGGTCTGCATAAAGAAGGGACAATTTGTGAAATCACACTAAAGAAGTAATCTATATCTTTTAAACAGAACGTTTCAACCGAATCATGCTGTAAAATCATCCTCACACTAATTTTGCCGACATCTAAGTGACTGATGGCTATGTGGGTTTTAATACGCCAGTGAGATTTTTGAGTAAGATTTCTCACAACATTCATAGTTAACTTGTGGTTTGGAATGTGAACGGCTTCACGGTCTTCGCCTCTTACAACTGTTGGTGACCACCACCCTACTTCCTGTAATGCAACAAATTACAAATGCTATACAAAGACAACGTTTAAAGGCTGAAATTACAAAAAAAATGGTGAGCAATGGAGAGTGGGGGTAATATTAGGTGTTCGAGCTCAGTGAAAATTGTGAACATCAGGGTAGGACTACAGGCCAGACATAAACATCGAGCCTAACAATTTGATTGGAGTAGTAACCAGATATAATTCAATTACTTCAGACAAGATACGTCTTATTGAAATATTTAGGTTACCTATTATTCTCAGCTACCTTATATAGTTCAGGATGTTGAAGAGAGACCCAATACGAACCTCAACTGTCCCAGAGATTTCATAGCCTTCAATCTTGGTCTGAATCCACTCATTCACAACAAATGGTCGCGTCGCGTGAATGATTGCACTTGAAAGAAAATTTGTGAAAATCTGAGTATGACAGCAAAAAAGTATTCTCAGTGGGTTCAGAAGCAGATTGCCAAGTGTGCCAACTAAACACAGCTTCAAATTGGCGAGAAATTGAAAAATTGTCGGACAAATATGTAATGCAAAGTTGAAAATTCATTTACACCTCACGTCCAGCTAGTGTGAGCAAGACTGTTCCAAGCCCTCCAGCGGTGAGCAATTTTTGGGTTGAGAAACCTAACAATTCCATAAACAATGATACAGCTGCAACCCAGACAGCTGTATATATAGCGTTCCCGGCAAACTGGAAACCCATCTGTCAAGAAGTAATAAAAGATATTTAGAAATAAATTTGTATAGAAGCAACAAAGCATCTTCTTTTATGCATCATCTTATCTGATGATTGTCAGTCTCTCTTTTTAGGCATATTCTCAGCCTTTATGCAAACAATTATTTCTCTTTCCTGCTTAACTTTGCTTATACTTTGATTATCAGATCTAGCTTAATAGTCTTGCCTACACACACAAAGCAGCTTCACTGTCAAATAATAATCCAAAAGCTCTCATCTATTATGGGACTTTCTAGTTGAAAATGAACATTAAATCCATCTGGCTGGATAGAATCCTCAACTTAGCAGATACATAAATAATATGCAGTTTCGTACGCACTTAAAAGGTGATGGCCTAATGAGGCCAAAGTCACCTACTTAAAGTTTATATAAGGGATAAAATAAACAAGTAGACACAAAAAGCAGAAGCGAGTATATGGTAGTAGGTCTAAAAAGTTTATTAACGGGATTGACAGATAGAATTGAAGATGACACAAGCAGATGACTTATTTTATGGTGATTAATCTTCTCAGGAAACGATTAAGGGTCAGATACAAAAACACAAACAAATCTCAGTTATTGTTCAAACTTCAGAATCAGCCCTAGTAGTCACGTGCTATTGCTTCACATTTTAATGTTTTATTATCTGATTGACTGACATATTACAGGGCTTCAAGAAATTAACAAGGTACAATAGTTCTAAAGGAAGCATTTGGAGGCACAATTTGGCATTATTCCAACTGATGGTAAAAAAACAAAAGCACATCAATGGTTCGGGTTTGGAATTAGATTCTTAGTGTGTGAATGAATATGGATTTGATTTGGTATTGATTAGTTTTTGTTAACTATAGTTAATTTTGAAAAATGTGGTATGGTTAGTTGTTAGTGCGAATTTGAGTTTATATTAAAAGAATATATATGACCTCTTTATTTTGTATTGATTTTGTTCGAAAGGCATAAAACAATTATAGTTGATTTGATGTAAAAGTAGGAGAGAGATTATGTGAAGTGATGGTTATTTAAATTATGTTAGTACATGAATAGTAAACTAAAGTTGGTGTGATTTGTAAAAATTGTTGATTGGTATTGTTTAATTATATTGATAATATTGAGGATAGTGGGTTGGGTTAAAGTTGAGTTAAAAAAAAAAAAAAAAAAAAGTAACTGGGATAAAAATGATTGGGTTTCTTTGGATCAAATCCATATCCAATTACACCCTTATAAATCCTGTTGCATGCGATTAAGAATTTGAACTTACATTTCTGTTATCGGTAGAGGCATTTGTCTGCATGAAGAATTTTTGTGCTTGTTGAATTAAACTGCATGAAATAGTCAAGGAGTAAGCTTTATCTAAATATGTCATGAACTTGAATGGAAATGACATGTGCAATAATAGATGAAAAAAATAGTGATGACATGTCAAAGAAGAAAGTCATGAAGCTCGTTATGAAAAATCAATCATGGATGATGGATCAATGCAGAAAATGAGAGGATGGAAACAGATTTAAGACTTATTCATGAACCAGTTGTCAAATTATATATAGATCTTAGTTTACTAGCCTAATCCACTACCCAGGCAAGTGATATGACTCGGGCAGAAAAAATTTTCCAGAAAAAGTGAACTGTGAAATGAATGTATTGTTTAGCTCTTTGCAGGCATCATATGCACACGGATACAAGCATAACAGATTCACACTCAACAAACAGAAATTATAGCATCTCTAGCCACATGTTAATAAAAAGATAGTTTGAAAACAAGAAAAGCTGCATCTTTGGCCACATGTTAATGAAAGGATAATGACACTTACCTTGACAGACAATAGGCAAAAGCCAGCACTGTAGATAAAGATCTGATGAAATTTAAAAGCCTTTGTTTAACAATTTGACCAGCTTCTGTGGGAAGAATCATTGGATCCAATGCACTGGAAGAAACACCACATTCAGTCAGAATGCTCTGAGCTATTTGATTCCAATTTCAACCAGACATAACTAACCTGCATATAAAGATTGCTCCAGTCCATAGCAGCAAGGGTTGAATATATGAGGTTGTAACTTGATATGCATTACTCTTTTTCCAGTTATTGTCAGTCTTCTGTACGATACAATGATATAGCGTAAATTGGAAAACTCAACTAAATTTCGAAAAGGTCTTTTATAATAGTGAAATTCGTATAATAAAATTTATGCTATGAGGTATAAGTAAACTAGTATCATAGGGCTATACATTCATAAATACGTTTCTGCTTAGTTGGACAAGTGGCCCAAGCCCCCATACTGCAAAAATAACAATCCCAACTGCTGAAGCCAATTTAATCACAACGGGACTTCCTTGCAGACGATTAAGTGATCTGAAAAAAAAAAAAAAAAAAAA